AAAGAAAAGGAGGGTGGGTAATAAATTAAGAATGATGTGGTATGTCATATTTTAAGTGTTCAAGGGTTGTATCTCAAGTTTTGAAGTTAGGTAAGTGGCAAAATAAAAGTTGGCAAAAGTTATCGCAAGTTCCTTTTTAAAGATTTCTCTAAAATTTGGGTCAAATGTATTGGATGTTTTCTCCCAATATATAAAGAGTTAGAAGTCCTATTACCCATTAAATTGAAGGCCTACGAGTCTAGTTTTAACGCACAAAACCCCATATCCAACCGACATCGGAGTAAAAATGTGGTATGTCGGCTTAATTAACGTTATAAGCCATGAAAACATTTCTTTTCACTTCCAAACCAGAGAGAAATCTTAATTGAGGGTTCCTATGGAGTTCTTGGATGATGAAGGTTAGTTTTTGACGATTTCTACCATCAAACGTTGCCCCCGTGCCTAGAAATGTGATCTCTACACGTGGCAATCATTTTTACCTTCTATTAGCTGCGTTTGGAGCTGGTTTTTGAAGATATTAATTTGTAGTTATTGGTGTTTCTTCAAGGTTTAAACTTGGTTAACTAAGGTAATCATCTCGGGACTCTTTCATGATTGTTTTTATCAATTTCTACGAACGTTTCGACAAGTTGGGGCAATATGGCAAATCTGCCGATTTAAGATTAATTATGAACTGTTTATAGGTGCGTACCAGCTGTGTATATATAGTGTTTGTGAAGCTTAGGACATAAGGAACAACTTTTGTGAAGGAACTATGGTCTTTCGAACGTTCATTGGATAGGTATGTTAAGGTTATTCCCTTCGTTCAACATGTTTCCTTAGAGGTTGTTAATGTTGGTGATCTTGTAGATGTAATTGTGAGTGGTTGGCTGATTGAGTGGTTATAAACCCTCATTTTAGGGACTCATAATTTGTTAAGAACGACCCTAAGTTAGGAACGACTTGGATATTATTCATATATATTGTTTATAGCTAAATTTCTCGCTTTTAACCTATTCAATTGTTTGTTGTCGCCCTTGGGGGTATTGTGGTTAGTTGTTGAGCTATGAACTGCCTATGGGGCTATGATGTTGTCTAATAGGACTATGTTATTTCCAAAGAGGGCTATCTATTTCCCACGGGGCTATATTGATGTCAAAGAGTGTTATGTGTTGCCTACGGGGCTATTTTGACACCAAAAAGGACTATGTGTTGACTACAGGGCTATGTTGATGCAAAAGAGGGCTATATGCAGCCCACAAAGCTATGATGTTGCCTAAAAGGGCTATGTGTTGCCTACGGGGCTATATCGTTGCCAAAAAGGGCTATATGACTTCTTACAAAGACAAGGGGCTACCGATAGCGGTATGTTGATTGATTTGGCACCTTCTGGGCTCATCGGGGCCTAGGTAGATGGTATGTTGTTTGTACCTGTCGAGCTTATGGGGGGTTTTTAGGTTGATATTTGATCATTTTTGTATTTTTTTGATTCAGTAGTGGGTTAGCATGCTTATCTAAAATTTTGATTTCCTTATGTGATTTCTTTTGGTATATTATGATACTTGCTCACTTAGTCTATAGCCTTTCATACTTCATACATTATTTTGTACTGACGCTCCATTGCCTTAGCGGCGTTGCATTCATACATGTAGGTCCCGACAGACGACCCACTAGACCTCCTCAGCAACAGGATTGACTTCTATTCGATTGCCTAGCCCCTTTCCTCCGGAGCTGCCAGAGTTGGGAGGTTTGTTACCTTTTGTTGTATATATCTTTATTGGTGGGCTGGGGCCCTGTCTTGCCAGTCTTTACTACTATTAGAGGCTTGCAGACTAGTGTGTAGGGTGTGTAGCTACGTTATGGCCATACTTGCCTAGTTTGTTGGTTTGCTGAAGCTTGTGAGTTGTTTGATGTATTGTCTTGATATATACCTGCTTTAAGTTTTGGTATAGATATCATAGTGGCCTCGACGGCCCAATCAAGAGTTATATGCTAGTTGGTTATTTATTTATATGATCTCCTAGGAGTAGTTGTTTATTTTATAGATTAATTGACAGGTGTCTTGCCGGCTGAGGGCTTAAATTTAAGCCGAGATATACTTGTCTGTTTTCTTGATTGCGTGTAGCTGCCATGTGCTAGTAGCAAATGGTTCACTAGGGTCAGCTCGTGCCTGAGTTTTGGAATTAAGAGCCAGTTGTTCCCCTCGAGTTTGGGGCGTGATAAAATGATACATACGTGTCTATTGACGATCTTTCTATGAAACACGTAGGGTGAAAAAGTAGTATCAGAAGTTCAAAATATCCCTAATCTTAATTGTATTGACATTTAACTGACATGTTGATACCACTTCATTTACTCACTCTTCTATAATAGTAAAAAGAAGGTCCATCCACTTGATATCTTAGTAAGTTAAATATTTTCTCCATCTTCCAACTATTTCTACTCCACAATATACAAAAATAAATTAGAATAATTTTTTTAAAAGCTTGACAAATAAAAAGAAATCAGTCAGATTATTAATATATTAATGCATGACTAATTGCTACTTTGTTTTATAAAATATTAATGGAGTATAGTTTGTTTATGCTTCTTTAAACTTTGTATAATCTTTCTTTTCTAAACCACTTTTTGGAATCCTTTTGACAACAAAATTTACTTAAGCAATGATTTCAAGATAAAGGATCATGTCATCAATGATTTCAACAAATTTCTCTTTGATTACTTTATTATTATTTATACTATATATCTTATATGATTAAAAATAATAATATAATATTAAGAAAAATATAAAGAGAATATATTTGAGTCGAAAATTTAGTGTCCTGGATTGGAGATCAATACTCTTTCAAGTGTAAAATTTGTTGTTATAAATTGGAGATGCACTTAACTAATGTAATTACATTAAATAAAAATTTATTAAAAAATGAATTTCAATGATCAGTAGAAAAATCATAATAAAATTAATATATATCACATAAACATAAATTATTTTTCGTGAAAAGAACTAGTCATCTTGTATTCCTTTGTTGTACTATAAAAGTCTCTTCTTCTATTTTTTATTTTTTTATTTGTTTAATTTTTAAAAAAATATGTTGTAGATTTTATTCTTTAATCATACGTATAGAGTAAAATATTTAAGTGTTGAGATTATTAATAAAGATGATTGCAAATTATCTTTTCTCTAAAAAAAAAAGAATGTAGTTGAGATTAAAAAAGATGGTCGTAAACAACCTTATCTTTAAAAGAGAATGTACATAAAATAAGTTTTTTATTGATAAGTATAAAAAGGTTTCAAATATCAACAAACTCTTTAATAAGTAAGGATTACATGAAATGAAATGGGAGAGAAATTAAAGGGTAGACTACATACTAGGTGTTTGTCATTAGTTAGTAATTTATTCATTAATATGGTTCATTGTTTTTTGAAAAGAACTATCCGCTTTTTGAGTAATGATTTTAAACTTATTATTTTTAAAAAATGAAAATTATTTTTAATGACACGCAGCATTATTTTGCAAAATATAAATTTAATAATTTATTTTTAACAAACATAAAGTTCAAGAATTATTTTAGTGATAACATGTGACACTATTTTTGCGAAATATAAATTTATAATATCATAAATGTACTTCTTTTAAATATATATATATACTGTTAAGTTTTGAGATTTACACTCAGTTTGGATCATTGTTACCCATTGTTTCATAATATATTGCATCGTATTGTATTCTATTGTATGGTAGATACAACGTTTGGCTAGACTGTATTGTTTGCTATTGTTTAATAACATTTTTATTGTTTGGTTTGACTGTATCGTACTGTATTGTAATTTATAAATTTATTAAAATATCCATAATTATTTTAGGGCAGGAGGTTTGACTACAATTAAATAATATAGGGTAAAGGGTAAAAAAGTATTATGAAATATTATGTAAGGATATAATTAGAAAAAGAAATTAAGTAACAACGGGAACACACCAAATCAGTTGTTTCATAAAATGGGAGTTTTCATTATTACGTAACAACAAAATTTAACAACACAATACAATACATTTTAAGTAACAATCAAAACAAACATTGTAGGTATGATAACGATACAATACAATACAATGGGTAACAATGATCCAAACAAAGTGTTAGGTGTAGTTAGGTAAGTTGGTGAAGAATTTTAGGAATGACTTAGTCAGTTGATTTTTCCCCATTTTTATCTGTTTTTTATTTTTAATTTTGCCTATGTATTATTTTTAAATTTTTGTCATGAAATTTTTTACTTTATCTTTTTAAATGATTAACTTTAAATTATATTAACATAGTCAAGTGCCTTGATATTACGTTGCCATTTGGGAGGGAATAATAATTTTTAAATTCAATATTTTTCTAAATCCATCATTATACTAAGTATAATAATATTTTTGCTTAATGTGGAGTGAATAAATATGAGATAAGTTAAGCGTACATATCCTATCAGATATATAATTTGTATTGTTTTTTGTGATGATATTTTTTGGAGAACAAAAAAAAAGTACGTGAAACTTTACTTGAATATAAATGGTCTTATATTTGCACAATATTTACGACCAAATCTTATTTGGAGGATTGATATCTTAAATCTCTAGTCGATATGAGCCTTGAACATCTACCTGTAAAAAAAATTAAACATTAACTAATAATACGATGTATACATAATAATTGCTTCTTATTTAAATAAAAATAGAGTTTACATCTATTATGTTGTATTACATTAATTCTATTACATCTTCTAGTTTATCTTTTTTTTTTTTGGTTAAATAAGATTTTATTTATAAACATGTTAAGCTATTACATAAGCATTGTTTGCTACCATTACATCAAGGAGCTCCGAGCTAGTGGCAAAAACAGACTGGGTATGATTAGAGGCATTCCCAACCAAGACCCTATTGTGGGTTAGAACATTAGAAGAAAAAACACTTAGATTATCTAGTTTTGCTAGATTATTCCAAGCTAAGATAGTACACTTCTTCTTAGTAGTTCCTCCGATTTTGTCAGTGGAAGAGCTCAAATAACCACGGAGGAGGTTCCATCAAAAACACCATATCATAAGTTGTGGCTCTTTTTGGTCCTTCAGTTGCTAATTTGTGAGCCACTTTGTTACCTTCCCTAAAATTATACCGGATCTGGGGATTCTCCAGATTCCTCAAGGCAGACCTACAAAGGGAGAGAAGATTAGAGAAAAGGGGAGGGGGCTGGTCTAACATATTAATTATATCAATAGCATCCGTTTCAATCTCTGAAACAGAGAGGTTTTTAGATATAGCGAGCATTAGACCCTCATGAAAGGCCTGCAATTCCATATGACAAGCATTGATACCTTTGGCTTTGTTAAAAAAACCTGCAGACCAATTGCCAGCAGAGTCTCTGAAGACTACTCCAATCCCATGGTTAAGGGAATTAGAATTGAATGCGCCATCGAAGTTGAACTTGAGACCAGTACATGAGGGAGGGAACCATTTGACACTAAAGTTAATTTTAGTAATATCTTTCTTGAGGGGCTTGGTAGAGAAGAGGAATTCCAACACTCTAGAGATAAGGTTGGGGATAGGGACAGGCGACGAGCATTGTTTGAAAACATTGTTGTTCCGATTAAGCCAAATATGCCATAGGGCAAAAGGGAGAAAACAAGTCCAGGTAAGGTGACGGTTCTCGAGGGGTTGATTAGATTGTAAGAAATGAAGAATCCATTGGGGATGATCAGAAGGGATACTTATATTAAGAGAAGTCCAGAACTCAATAGCAATAGGGCAGCGAAGGAAAATATGAGGAATCGTTTCTTCTTCTGAATTGCATATAGGGCAATTACCGGAAGAAGTAATGTTTAATCTGAAAAGGTAGGAATTGGTGGGAAGACAATTATGAACGCAGAGCCAAAGAAAAAATCTAATCTTGCCAAGCGTGTGAGTATACCAGATCCAGTTATAGTCATTTTGGATAGTCAGAGGAAAGTACGAATTGAAAAGTTTGTAAACCGAGGACATAGAGAACAAACCATTACTATTGAGCGCCCAGGAAGGAAAATAAAAATTTCGACGACTATCCATTATGGTGACAGAGTTGATTCTGGAAAGAATATCATCAGGAAGAACAAAAGATAAGTCTTGGAGACACCAAGCATTATTATAGAAAATATCACTGATTTTTTTAATCAATGTCACTAAGGTGGATAGGGCCCTTAATAAGAGATCGCAAACAACAGTTAGGAGGAATCCAGTTATGAACCCAAATATTAATATTCCTACCATTCACAATATTCCAAAGAATACCTTTTGGTACAAATACTCCAACTCATTTTGATATTTCTAGCAATGAAAGAAGATCGAGGGGAAAGAGTTTTACATGCATATTTGGTAATTTCGCATTTAGCCCAAAGTTGATTGGGATGGGAAAAAAGTCTCCAGGCAAGGCTAACCAGACTAGCTTTATTTTTATCCTCCACTTTGGTAATCCCTAGACCTCCAGAATCTCTAGTCTGTAACAGTCTTCCAACTAACATAGTGCAATTTTTTCTTTTAGTCAGTGGAGCCCCAAAGAAAATCACGTTGAGTTTTATCAATCACTTAAGAGTTTTCTTGGGAAGATCAATAAATTGCATTATATAATTGGGATAGTGTTAAGGGTGTTTTTGATAAGCACAAGACGACCAGCCGGGCTTAGAAAGTTGGTCTTCCAATTGGCCAATTTGGCACGCATTTTGTCAATAATAAAATTAAAGTCGGAGTGCTTAGGATTATGGTCAAACATAGGAAAACCCAAATATTTACCAAAGGAGTTAGATCTTTTAATTCCAGTTGAACAAAGTTGTCACTACAAGATTTGGAAAAGACAATTTTTTATTTTGCAAAGTTGATGGATAGACCAGAGAGGGCACACAATTTACGAAGGAAATTGTTAAGAACACTAATAGAGTTGGGATGAGCCTTAGACATAATAGTAAGATCATCTGCATAGAAAAGGTGAGATAGAGGATGGGCATTAGGGCAAAGTTTAATGGGTTTCCAGAGTCCTATATCTACTAGGTGGTTTATATGAAGAGACAGTGTCTCCATACAGAGAATAAAGATATATGGGGACATAGGGTCGCCTTGACGAATTCCTCTAGTAGGGGAGAAGAAATTAGTCCTAGAACCATTAACTAGAACTGAAATGGAGCTACTAGAGATGCAATTCATGATTAAGGAAGTAATTTTAGGGGGGAACTTGAAAAATTTAAGGGTTTCATAGATAAAAGACCATTCAAGTCTCAAAGGCTTTTTCCAAATCGATTTTCAGTATGAAGTTACCTGTTTTGGCTTTAGAGAACTTCAGTTGGTGAATAAGTTCTTGGATAATGATTGCATTATTGGATGGACGTCTACTTTTGAGGAAACTAGTTTGGAATGGACCAATAATAGACTGGAGGAAGGGTTTCATCCTATTGGAAATCACTTTAGTAATAATTTTATAAATGGTGTTACAAAAGCCTATAAGGAGAAAGTTATTAAGGTGATTTGCATTTTTGATTTTAGGTATGAGGTGTTAGGTTTAGCAAGGTGTGAATGGGAAATAAAAAGAGAAAATGGAAAGAGGAAGAACCAATGAAAGTGGGGAACTAATTTTGGAGGGAAAATGAAAAGTCATTGCAAAATGCAAATGAAAACTCATTTTTACCATATTGGTAGAAGAAAGGAAATTGTTGTTCTTATATTAGGAAACACTTCATTTAGGTCTTAAAGGGCTAAGAAGAAGGTGCCCCTTGCGCCGTCGTCGTCGCTTGCTCGGCTTCAGATGTGATTGATTGATAATATTTTTGGACAAAATTTATTTAATCAATCTTGTTAATTCATTTCTTTTCTCTTATAAATTAATTCATAATGTTAGTTAAATAACATAATTAATTTGGCGCAACGAAATTTATTTGAAATTCATGTGCAATGGTAATAACGTTCTGAAGGGACCTATTTCTTCAGAAAAGTCGTTATTTTTCCCAAAAGACACACGTTCTGAAAAAAATGGGTCTGAAAAGAATTGTCTGAACAGACGCATTCCTTGCTGTAAATGGCTATAAATAGAGATGTTTTTTCCGATTTTCACTATTGAAAATTTTTCCTCTCTGCATTCATTTTCTTACATAAACAAAATTGTCGATCGACTATGTCTGTGTGTACTGTTGTTGCTGTTCTTGCCTTCGCTGAAGTTATTGAAGTTTGAGGTACCACTACTTCTTTAACAAGTTAATCCATTTTATCTTGGGAGAAATTAATCTGCAACCTCGGGTACAGTGAGGGATTAAATTTCTTAAGGAAACACAGTGATTTATGTGGACTCGAATTAAAATCATTCTGTCTATTTCATCTATTTTCTGTTTCTGTATTTTTGACTAACCTGAATACAGGAGATAACAATTTAAAGAAATTTAAAGTTTCTGTATTTGAGGTTTCTGGAGATTAAAACCTTATGGTTTTCTACTCTGTTTGAATTTTTAAAATTCATTCGATTAACGATTAAAAGAACATAAAAACTTTATCATTAAATCAGAAACAGTTTGTGTATGGATTTATTCTGTACTGTTAGTATTTCACATACTAAAATTGTCTGTCATTTGTGACAGAAAAATGACTAATTCAAGTCAAGTAAATGCTGAAACAGTAAGTGTTGCAACAACATCGGTTGCACACAATCGTTCAACTGCTGCCCTAGCATCGGCTGAGAAACCTACAAAGTTTTCTAGAGTCGACTTTAAGAGATGGCAGCAAAAGATGTTCTTCTATCTGACTACGTTGAGTCTGCAGAGGTTCATTAATGAGAACTTTCCTGTTATGTCAGATGAAACTTCGCCTGAAGAACAATTCTTGGTAACAGAGGCATGGACATTCTGATTGTTTGTGTAAAAATAATATTCTAAGTGGCCTGCAGGATGATCTATACAATGTGTACAGTAATGTCAAAACCTCAAAAGAACTCTGGAATGCTTTAGAAAAGAAGTACAAAACAGAGGATGCCGGAATGAAGAAGTTATTGTGGCAAAGTTTCTAGACTATAAGATGATAGACAGTAAGACCGTTGTCACCCAAGTTCAAGAATTGCAGGTCATAATCCATGATCTTCTTGCTGAAGGTATAAATTTATTTAATACCTATGTTGGAAATATTAAGTTTATTCTTAATACTCACATAATCTTTAATGTAGAATTGGTTGTGAATGATGTTTTTCAAGTGGCTGCCATTATTGAGAAGTTACCTCCATTGTGGAAGGACTTCAAAAACTACTTGAAACATAAACGCAAGGAGATGACTGTTGAAGATCTCATGGTAAGGCTGAGAATCGAAGAAGACAACAAGGCCGCAGAAAAGAGGTCACGTGGTAATTCAGCAATATCTGGAGTAAATATTGTTGAAGAAGATCCCACAACATCAAAGAAAAGAAAGAAAGCATCTGGTCTAAAGAGCAATCCTCCTAAGAAGAAATTCAATGGAAGCTTCTTCAACTGTGGCAAACGTGGTCATAAGGCTACTGAATGTAGGGGTCCCAAGAAGAACAAGAAGAAGGATCAAGCAAATCTGGCTGAATCCAAAGGAGAAATGGATGATCTTTGTGCAATGCTTTCAGAATGCAACTGGGTTGGAAATCCAAGAGAATGGTGGATAAATTCTAGTGCCTCATGCCATGTTTGTGCCATAAAAGATTTATTTTCATCATATACTCCAGCACCTACAGACGAGAAATTGTTTATGGCAAACTCCGTTGTTGCAAAGGTGGAAGGAACTGGCAAGATTCTCCTAAAGATGACATCAGGCAAGGTGTTGACTTTGAACAGGGTCTCGTATGTTCCGAAATTGCGAAAGAACTTAGTTTCTATATCAGTTCTGACTAAGAATAGATTCAAATGTGTATTTGTTTCTGATAAAGTTGTAGTAAGTAAGAATGAAATGTATGTAGGAAAAGGTTACCTCGCTGAGGGCCTTTTTAAACTCAATGTAATTGCAGTTGATATGAATAAAGATTATGCTTCTTCTTACTTGCTTGAGTCTAAATGTTTATGGCATGAACGTTTGGGACACGTTAATAACAAAACCTTGTAAAAACTGATTAACTTAAATGTTTTGCCTAAATTTGAGTGCAATAAATCAAAATGTCATGTTTGTGTTGAATCTATGCTAAGCATCCTTATAAATATGTTGCAAGGAATTCACATCCCTTAGAACTGATTCACACTAACATTTATGACATAAAGTCAACACCAACACGTGGTGAAAAAAAGTATTTCATAACTTTTATTGACGATTGCACTAAATATTGTTATGTCTATTTGCTAAATGGTAAGGATGAAGCAATAGATGCATTTAGGCAGTATAAAACTGAAGTTGAAAATCAGTTGGATAGAAAGATCAAAACGATCAGAAGTGATAGAGGTGGAGAATATGAATCTCCATTTGCAGAAATATGTTTGGAAAATGGAATAATCCATCAAACTATTGCTCCTTACTCTCCACAATCTAATGGAATTGCAAAAAGGAAAAACCGAACTTTAAAGGAAATAATGAATGCCTTACTTATAAGTTCAGGTTTACCACAAAACTTGTGGGGAGAAGCTATCCTTACAGCAAATCAAATACTCAATAGAGTTCCTCACACAAAGACATATGTTATTCCATATGAGAAATGGAAAGGTAGAAAACCCAACTTGAAATATTTCAAAGTGTGGGGTGTCTTGCCAAGGTCCAGGTTCCTATACCTAAGAGGGTGAAAATAGGGCCTAAGACTGTGGATTGTGTATTCATTGGATATGCCACAAATAGTAAGGCATGTCGATTTTTGGTTCATAAGTCTGAACATCTGGATATTCATGATAATACAGTAATGGAATCAAATAATGCTGAATTTTTTGAACTTATCTATCCGTATAAAACTAGACTTGAGTCATCTAGTGGGGGGGGGGTCTAAACAACCTCGAGAAGAACCAAAAGAGAATGAAACCAATGAAGAGAATCCAAGGCGCAGTAAACGTCAAAGGACAGCTACCTCATTTGGATTTGATTTTGTAACATTCCTTCTTGAAAGTGAG